ATAGAGGTATTTCCTGGTCCTGCTGCTGAATGGACAGGTGAGCTAGAGCAAAGTTAAAAAATCCCACTTTCCTGAAGAAGTTTGATTTAGGGAGGAACGAGACAACCAGTAGCCCCTATAAATGTAATGGGGGAATGAGCTAGTTAACCACTCCCAGAAAATCCATTCATTTCCTAGTAATTTGTTATTTTGACTTTTTAACATATTTTTGCACAGTTTTTAGAGGGGAAAGTTAAGGTTGGTTGTGAGGTGTAAAATGGTTGAGTTGAGAGTACAGGAAAGATTATATGGTAGTGGAGATTTCTCAGCCTAGATCCCTTGACTATATTTTCCAAACATCAGGAATTGCCATACTGGTTCAAAGCGGTGGTCCATCTAAGGCAGTGTCCTGTCCCCAACAGTGGCCAGTGCCAGATGCTTCAGAGGAAGAAAACCTGCAATATGCAATTTTGAAATAATCTGTCCCAAGTTGAAGTTTCTTTTTAAATCCCATCAAGTAAGATTGACTTATACCTTGAAACCTAAGGATTTAAAGCCCTTCCAAACATCTTGAGAACATGACCTATGAAGCAAGGCTGAAAGAATTGGGTTTGTTTAGTTTGGAAAAGAGAAGACTGAGAGGGGACATGATAGCAGTTTTCAGGTATCTAAAAGGGTGTCATAAGGAGGAGGGAGAAAACTTGTTCACCTTAGCCTCTGAGAATAGAACAAGAAGCAATGGGCTTAAACTGCAGCAAGGGAGGTCTAGGTTGGACATTAGGAAAAAGTTCCTAACTGTCAGGGTGGTTAAACACTGGAATAAATTGCCTAGGGAGGTTGTGGAATCTCCATCTCTGGAGATATTTAAGAGTAGGTTAGATAAATGTCTATCAGGGATGGTCTAGACAGAATTTGGTCCTGCCATGCGGGCAGGGGACTGGACTCGATGACCTCTCGAGGTCCCTTCCAGTCCTAGAATCTATGAATCTATGAATCTGTTGGTTTTCTTTTTAACTCTTATTATTATTATTACTGGAAAATAACCTTTAAGCCCGGAAAGAAAGATAGCCTTTCTGGAATATTTTCTCTGTTCTGTGTAATTCACCATTTAACTTTCTTAATTCTTGCCTTTTCCAGAGGGGGTTCTCCTTCTACTAATGTTTCCCATAGAAATGCACTGGTTAGACTCAGTGCTTCTTCCCACAGAGCATGTTCTTTTGGATTTTCCCTCCTATGTCCATGGGGTGCAAAATTGCTTGCTGCTTTGCAATCCAAAATCTTGCTACTGTTATTGTGGCTTGATAAATCAGCTTGACATACATTTTGAGGAGTTGAAATGTAGTCTCTTGAAATTTGACTGGCTTTTCAAGTTAACCTTCAAATACACTGAAGCTTTGCCAGTTTTCAGAATATGACTTCACACATTTCATTCAGCAGACCTTCCACTATAATAGAAAAGATCAAATACTTTCAGCTAATCGTGTGCTTCTTTGTTTTTTAAAAATTCCTTTTTACATTTTAAAAGCCAAATCCTGCTATGCTTACTTAACACGTACTGTAATTCTGTTCTCTGTGTCATCCAGGTAGGTCCATTGAAATAAATGCATTTACTTCAGACTTACCCCAGTATAACTGAGAACTGAATTTTACCCTCAGACCTTTGCCAAACAAAATTCTCAGTAAAGTCAGTGGGAGTTTTGCTTAAGTTGGCCCAAAAAACCCTTGGGAAGGAATGTAATGCTTATGAAAGGGAGAGACTAATTGTATGGGCTTGCACCACATAGTGCAGGCATTCTGTTCTTACCTGCAAACCCCAGTACTATTTCAATCCTAGATTTAGAATACGGATTATTCCTAACTGTGCCAAAATGAATGTTTCCATTATTTTACTGGCAGATGTTGTATGGTGGTTAGAAAGGAGAATGGCGGTATATCATTGAGAATCAGCTGTGCCTGACCTTGATTGTTTGTAAGACTGGACTCAGGCTGTCAGGCCCCAGGAGGAAGAAGAAAATGTGATATAGTAATGACAGAACAAAAATGCTTAATCATTTTTCTCCAGATTAAGCTTCTATGGGAAAATCCTATTTCTGGTCTCAGCAAATACACTGGGGTCTATTCTTCTATGAAGATTTACAATATTTGTCCCCTTAATTGGCAATAACAGCGAAGTACATCAATCCCCAGAGCACTGGTGGAAAAATAGGCCCTGTTTGCTTTAATTTAAAAATAAACCTTTTTACATGTTCATGCAGTACACAGTCTCATAAATTATTTTCTCTGGCACCATCAAGCACTTTCTGAGCTACATTTAAGAGACTCATGCATAGCTTTTGGCTTGAGTTTTCTTGCACTAAATGGTGATGACTGGTTTTTATTAAAACAAAATCTAGAAATCTGCTGCTTGTCCTGTATTTCCAATGGATGGTCCAACGGTCTGAAATATTCATGTACTTGTCCTGGTGCTTCTTGAAATTCATTATCAGGAAAGTAACACAAATAGAATTTTTAAGTAGTTTTTTTTTTTTTTTTTAAAAGCCCTCCAGGTCACAACCCTTTCAATTACATGCACAAGAAAGCAAGGAGGCAACACTAGTCTGCTGTGAGAGGAGAGAGCCACAGAAAGTTTGCGTTCTTCTTAATTTAGTTAAAACATTTGGCAGAGGTGTACGTGGTGTAGCGATGTGAGGCTATTTTCAAGAGTGTTAGCATTTAACTGGCCTACTTTGGACTAGTGGTGTTCTCTTGTGTGTTACTTTTTGTCATTGAATAATGCTGATTTACTAAACTGTGTGCTTCAAGGGCATTGTAAAATAACAGGTAGGGGCAGGACTGAATTGTGAAAGCGAGAATTACTGTATCAGATCATGTCCAATTAAAATATGACAAGCACAGCAGGAGAAATTGGAAGTAGGGTTTATCTTTCATGTAAGAGAGGAAGTCACTATATCAGTTAGAAACAAAGTGAGTGTGAAACAGATTCTCCACCCTTTCTCATCCCTCTCCAAAAATTAATATCTATTGACATTTATATCGGGAAGAAGTTGTACTATCTCATGTTCAAGGGTATAATGGCAACTGAACGAAGAGCATTGCAGCTATACACATTAAAGCTATTCTTTCTCAAAGTACGTGTCAAACCATAAGTCAAAACATTTGTAACTGACAGATAAAAATAGTTTGAAAAATTAGGTTTTCTTTTAGCTAAAACTGTGGTATGTGATTAAAGGAAGGCTTACAGTCTTACAAGGTCTCTTGGGCTTTGCAGATAGACCTTTCAGGAAAAATAGGAATTAAAAGTATTTAAAAAACTAGATGCTTTTTACAAGTTTTGTAGTATAGTACAGTGTTACCTAATATAACAAGTTTTGATATAAAATTCTCTTTATTATGAGGTAGAGAAACTGCATTGGCCTTCCTCACCATTGCAATCCTTTACATAATCTATTTGTATAACATTCATTAGCACTTTGCTTACAGAGATGCAGAACTGTAAATATAAATAGATGCAATTCTTTACATGTAGCCGTTTTTGGTCCTTCTGGATCATAGCATGTTGTTGTGTTGTATAGCACCTCTTGAAGGTGAATTTGAATTGACAATGCTACGGAGAGCAATGTGAGGCTTTGCAAGAATATCATCTATAGAAACAATCATATCTGATTGGCTGAGCAAAGTGAGACCTTTCACTCAACTTTATGGAATTTCTCTGCTTGTCTGCCTGTTTGGTTGTAACCCGATAATTTTTGAACACCACATCTGATCAATTCCCAAAATTCAGGGAATCTTCTAGGTATCAGTGGGCACAACTCAACTGATTTTGGGGGAAATTGGAAAACTGGAAGGAAAAAATGGGGTGGGGGGACGACACAGCTCCTGGTATCTGGTTGTCACACCCATCATCTTTACATATGTCTGTAATTGTCTAACAATTACAGAACTTGTTGATGGCAGCTGTTAACACCTTCCAGCCTAACAACACCCACCCCCTTTCAGCTCTGTCCGTCCTTCCAATGGACCTTAAAATTTTGCCTCCTCCACCCCCCCCTCCCCCCGCAGTGACTTCTCTCTGAGACAGAAAGAAAATAAATAATTTAACAGATTACAAATTGTTGGGTAGATGAAGGGATGCAAGGAGCCCCTGGTGTGTGCAATGAGTTTGGCCTACAGAAGCATCAAACTGTACAACCCTGTAGTGTATTTGGAGGAATAGTCTATCAAGAGTTGATATCGTTTACATTATCAGTTTAAGAAGTTAAATATTCCCATCTGACCTAGAGACAGTAACTTTGCTTAGAGACAAAAATGAAGAACTATCTTTGCCACAGTATGGAAATGTTGATCCATTGGATGCTTCTGTCCTTCAAGAAAGGATTTATAATCTCTTTCGCATCTTGTCCAGGTTGGGGCATATGAATATTCAAAAAAGGACATTTTTAGTCCAGTGCATTAGAAATTTGCATAACATTCATTGAAATTAAGGCTAAAAATATTCCTTCCTTCCTTCATGTGGAATAAATGACATGCAGCAAACTCTTCAGATGTTAAGTCACTAGGAGATAGGTGGACATATGTATATCCTTACACATATTTGATAATGTCCAGGTCCCAGTGTATACAGGAGCTAGTCCGTGTTTTTTGTATGATGAGAAGAATCTACCTGTGCCCTCTTTCTTCTCTCCCCACCATCTGCATTACACAGCTGAGGGCAGAATTTAGCAATAATAATAAATTAAACACATTAATTTAATATATGCTTTAGACTTTAAGGTAGGGATAAACATTCAGATCCTAATTTTAATATGAAAAAACTAGTAGAATTCACCTTCAAACTGATACATATATAATATAGTGTGTAAGGGATGGGATGTAAAAAAATAATAAAAAAAACCAAGGGACATTTTTCACTAATAAATCTATGTATTTTACCTCTTCATCTTGATTCCTTAGTAAATAATAAGAGTAGACAAGTTAAAATTAAATAGCTACAGCACTCCCTAACTTTGACTTTTATTTTGCAGAGACAAACGTGAAGGAAGATGCTGTGAAATTCATGGAGATGCTGGAGGATAAGCTGCATAGGTAAGGATGGCATGGTGGAAACCTTTTAAAAAAAAAATCTAAAATGTTACTTTATAAATGTAACTGTTGCTTTAGAGTGTTGGTGAACACTTTGGAATATATTTTTTTAAAAATAGCAAAAATCAGAATTTAGAAAGGAATAGTTCAAAGGGAATTTTTGTTATTAATCTTTCATTCCATCATCCTGAAAAGCGTAACAAAATCTTATTTTAAAAAAAATATATAAAGGCTTGGAAGTACCATACGTTTCTACATTATGGGCCAAATTCATGGCCCTGCTGCAGCTGCTTTGCACTAGTCTGCCAGTGTAAAGTGGCCATATAGATCCGCATATCCAGTTAGTTGATTCCCCTGGTGTAAGGGTATTCTTCAGGGGCATAGACAGGTCATATACCACGTCAGCCTACCTCTGACATAGTGGGTATGACAAGACAGAAGGGGGCATGGTCAGGATATCACTGCATCCACCTCAGCACAAGTGATTAGAATGATCACGAGGCTGCTCTATTTTATGTTGTAGACCAGCCCAGTATCCAGCAGTTCTGGGTTGTGGGGAGCACAGCATTGATTTAAAACCAACCCCCCCCCCCCCCAGCAGTTGTACACAAAAGCACAAATTAGCTGGGCCAGATGATTTCTCCCATGAACTGTGTGCTCTTATGTATTAAGTAATGATCTACTTAATTTTGAATAGTTCTGAAAAATATAATGAAATCTTTCTTTCCTCTCTAGCCCCCACAGACTAATAGAAACCAAAACAACAATATAGCTGTTTTAAGAATATAACCCTACTCCGAATACCTATTTTTTAAACTACTGCAAAGATTAATATTTAATCCTCTTGCTATGTGAAGAACTCTTGTGCCTCCCTCAAGGGTTGCCTTGCCTTTCCGTAGCTTATCACCGGGTGCTGTGTTGCTGTTGTAATGGAACCATCTGTTAGAATGGACTTTGTTTTAAAGCGGTATTTACATTTTTAAAAGTCTGGCTACAGTCTGTATTATTGATTTGTGTAAAAATCTCCTTTGTACTGCTGGGCTGGAATAGAGAACGGTACTTCTACCCATGCAGTATTTACCATAATGGCTGAGGGAAGACTCCAAGTTTTTAGACCTGTTCATATGTGCTTTTGAATACTAAATATTTAGTAGGTTGTAGGTTCCATATTTAGCACTAAATCAAAACCATAGTGCAAAATCTTGTTTGTTTAAATTTTCATCAAGAATATAAATTCCAAAGAATATGGTGTAGCAACACAGTGATGTTTCTGGGTTTCGTAGGTTTATAGCAACACAACAGATCCCTCAACAAACAAAATCATCTTCTCTTTAACAGTTAACCACAGGGAAAGTCAGAGAAATGTCATTTGCGTTTTCTTTTGAGGGAATTTTCTGGTTGTGGGCAGACAATTGTGCTGCTAGCTTTGTAGTTAAGTATTCAGTTGCTTTAAAGAAATTAAATATTGCATTTGGGTTGTTGGGTTGTCTTATCAACTCAAAACTTTTTTTCTGCATTAATGTTGTTCTAATCCTAGGAATTTTTTCGGTGTGTTTTGTATATGCTGTGTGCTGTTAATGGGTTTTGAAAGAGTATGTGGCATGTGTCTCTCACCCACCCCCTTCTCCCAGTACTCATATTTCTGAGAGTGAAATTTGTGCTGGACTTAGCGATGCCATCATGCTGGTATTCATCCTGTTTTGGTGAAGTGTATCATTTCTGGGAAAGGATTGAAAGTTAAACCCTCCTGTGGCACTATACTATATATTGGAAGCCCATGCTGTCAAGTCATTTCTTTATCAACAAGGGGTGAACATTTCAAACTGGTTCTAACAGACTTCAGCAATATACTGTGTTGTAATGCAACATGTTCGAATTGTATTGATAGGTTGCATTCCGTAGTACCATATAGACTTTGCTATGTCTGTTTCAATCTTTGTTTTCTACTGAAACTACACTATAGGTCTTAATGTGTTATTAGTTAGAGGTTACTGTCATCAGGTTTTACTGAGAACTAAATACATGTACTTGAAGTTCTACAAGTACATTCCTACAGTCATATTAGTTCATTTGTCATGCATCTTTGACTGTTACCCCAGCCCGCTCTCACTCTCCATCTCCCTGGGACTTAGTCTAACGTTGCAGACACCTGAGCATCTTCAAAAGGCTACCATTTAAAAAAAAAATTATCTGTCAGAAAAACAGGTTCTCCCAAATATGGAAGCTCTCCCCCGCACTTCTCCCCCTAAAAAAAACCAACCCTATTTCTATCCAAGTCCCAAGATGGGCAAGATTCAGTCCTGCACTAGTGGTAGCTTTTCTGTACATATAAATGTCACAGTTCTAAAAATCTCCTATCTCAAGGAACTGCGGGTCTAGAAATGGGAGCTTTATTCATTGGAAAGAGGAGATTCCTAACTTTTCAATGGTAACAGCACCGACTTCTAAACGTAGATGGGCCTCAGATATCATCTCTCTCAAATTGTGATATGTTTAGGTATACAAAAATATTTCAGGTCTTTTTGGAAAGTTTCTAAGACTCTCTGAGCCCTGCACAAGTTGGACTTATGATAACTAAGGCATCTGATTTTATAGGGAGAGGGATTAAAAAAAATCTACTTTTTAGAAATACACTAAAACTTTCCTAAAACAGCTTTTCTATAACTTGTGACATATACAGAGTATATGAAGTATGATATAATGGTTTTATCGGGACTTGCTTAGGATGATGTGCAAAGCTCACTTTCAGCTTTACTGTTTGCGATTAATATGACTATGCCAAACTCATGACAAAAAAAAAACGTTTATTCCGCAATATATCATCATGTTTTGTATCTCAACCCCCTCCCAAAAAAAGCATATTTCTCCTACTTTCTTACCTCTACAGTGAGTTGTTCCTTCTCTCTGTTACTAGGAGGCAGTTCAGATTTGCCACTCTTAAGCAGAGAGCTAAGATCCTTGCATTGTATTAACCAACAGAATTGTTGTATCTCCTCAAGAAGTAACCAGGATGTTTCTGTCCTCCCTTTTACCAGAGTAAGAGAGTACATTAATATTAAAATGGATAAATTGAATTCATAGGAGGATTTCCCTTCAGCCTCAGTGCAGGTGCAGTTTTCAACAGTGGCAGAGCCCATCCCTAGAAGGGTTGCCAAAGTTAAAAGATCTAACAGCACATCAGAAAATGTACTCATTTTAGCACACTCCTCCAACCATGAACTGTGAAACTGTTTGTTTCGTGTCCAAAAGGAAGTATCTCCTGAAATTCAAGGTACTACTCAGTGCTCACCAGAAGAAGCGAGGGCCTCTTGAAGAGAAACAGAGAAGTTACCAGCTCCTTCCTGTCAGCAAGGCTACCAGGTCCCTGCTGAACACTTAGAGGGTATTTTCTGATTAGGAAAAAAGGTGTGATCTTACCTCATTGTATCAAACATATGGTAACAAACACTAGGTAAAATCCTAGTGAAGTCAAGACAGTTTTTAGCTTTCAGATGTGTTAGCAGGTCAAGATAAAGACTATGAGGGAGCCTACTGTTTACCTTAACCTCATGTTAAAATTGCAACTGCCTTGTCTTATCTAGTGTTAGTTACCATGTTTTTTCCTAGCACAGACCATGCCTAAGAGGGCCTCTGCAGCTGCCAAAAGCAATGAGGTTTAGTCATGTTCAGTGGTAATCCTTAGCTGACTGTCTTAGGTGGAGTTCATTTTCTTATGCGTGAATGCCTAGCATATCAAGGAATCGAAGAACATCACAGCAGATTTGACTCATCAGATGCTACCTTAACCTATGTGAACGGAATTTGCACAAGTTCACATTCCTCCTTCTTACTTTCAAGTGGGAAGTATCAGTGGAGGAGCTATTCATGTCCAGAATGAATGCAACGTCTTCCCTTCTTGTTTGACAGATAAAAGATGATTGTGCGCTATGATAGCTGTGGGCACTGTGCCATACTTATGACCTGTGGGTTTGCTTTATACAGTAAAAGCTGTATTATCTGGCCCTGTACCAACTGGAAAGCTCTATAAACCAGCATTTCTAATCTTCATAGGAAGTCCGGTTCATAGACCGATTGATGCAGGGCTGGCAGGCTCCCTACCTGGCGCTGCGTGGCTCCCTGGAAGCGGCGACATGTCCCTGCTGCTCCTAGATGGAAGAACAGCCACGAGGGGTTCAGAGTGCAGGAGGGAGTGCGGGGCTCGGGGCTGTGGCGCAGGAGGGGGTGCAGGGCGTGGGCTCTGGGAGGGAGTTTGAGTGCGGAAGGGGGTTAGAGCTCAGGAGGGGTTTTGGGGTGCCAGATCCAGGGCACCTCACCTCAGGCGGCTCCGCAAGCGGCGACCTGTCCCTGCTGCTCCAAGGCGGAGGCACAGCTAGGTAGCTCTGTGCACTGCCTCTGCCTGCAGGCACCGCCCACGCAGCTCCCATTGTCCACAGTTCAAATAAACTAAGTTTTTTGGCTGAAAATCTTTATTCAGTTAGTATTCATAAGAACGGCCGTATTGGGTCAGACCAAAGGTCCATCTAGCCCAGTATCCTGTCTACCGACAGTGGCCAATGCCAGGTGCCCCAGAGGGAGTGAACCTAACAGGTAATGATCAAGTGATCTCTCTCCTGCCATCCATCTCCACCCTCGGACAAACAGAGGCTAGGGACACCATTCCTTACCCATCCTGGCTAATAGCCATTAATGGACTTAACCACCATGAATTTATCCAGTTTTCTTTTAAACGCTGTTATAGGCCTAGCCTTCACAACCTCCTCAGGCAAGGAGTGCCACAAGTTGACTGTGCGCTGTGTGAAGAAGAACTTCCTTTTATTTTTTTAAAACCTGATGCCCATTCATTTCATTTGGTGGCCCCTAGTTCCTGTATTATGGGAATAAATAAATAACTTTTCCTTACCTACTTTCTCCACATCACTCATGATTTTATATACCTCTATCATATCCCCCCTTAGTCTCCTCTTTTCCAAGCTGAAAAGTCCTAGCCTCTTTAATCTCTCCTC